CCCATTAAGGCTACATAGCATTATGCTATTATGAATTGTTTAAGAATTAAGATACATGCAAGTATAAAAACCATTCCTACGTGCTCTCATTACAGATTATGAAGTCAATTACCTTAGTTTGGGTTTGAATTGCAGCGTGGTTATGAAAGGCTCTGCTATTTAAGGTGCCTGCATCCTTGGGATCATAACTTACAAACTACGTGTGTGCACGTCCAGTTCCCAAGCATTTGCGCAAGGAGAAGTTTATCGAGTGTGTATGTTGGGTTTTTGATACCCAATAAATCCCGGGCTATGATGTTAACGTGGGTTAATATTATTTCATAGGCATAGGCCGATGAATGAAATAAGTTCAACAACCAAGTCCATGAGCTACACCAGACCCAATTGTATTCCTTATGGATGGCTTGAATTTTGGCCCGTTTACCCCTTTAATGACCCAACTTAAAGCCTAACCCTAGAGTATATATTTGGTTATAACCCTAGCCACTTTGATATGATGATTGTGTGATTTTGAGAGAAGAAACTAGTGAATCCCGGCTGCCCCCCTTTTGTGTGAGAAAAAGGTGTCCAGAAGTGTCCAGAACACTTGTATAACGTGTGCAATTGGTGGTTCTTTCATAGTATACCTTTGTGGTGTCTTCTCCTAGCCTTTGTGGCCATAAATCATCATCCCTTCTTGTCCTACGTGGATAAGATTGTATAGCAACCAAGGTGAATCAATTGGTTGTGGTTTGGAGCCGATTGGACTAGTTGTTGGTTGAGAAATGTACGTTGGATTGAGCCTGGAAAACAATCGTTTGAAGATCCTTTTGAGAGAGCTTCCGCAACAATTGGTATCAGAGCTTCAAGGTGAAGGTTTTGGCTTGTGAAATCTACCATAAATCGTCCAGAAAATCGACAGAAACGCAGCAGAAATCAGATCGAAGAAGCTGTCCAAAAACTGTTAAAATCAGTCTCCGTTTTTCACATTTTCTGATCAATCCAGAAGGAGTTTGGAGAAACGGAGACCACTGGCGTGACATGCAGGAGGAGGCGAACCCTTCAGGACGGCGTGTGTGGTGGCGCGTGAGGCCCACGCGCAGAGAAGAGAGGCCGCGCGTGAGGGCGCGTGAGACTGAATTTGGAGACGGTCTCTTCAGGCAGTTTGTTCCTAATATTATTTCTGACATTTTTCGTGTTGGAAGTTTTTTGTTTCAGGGTACATAGTAGAATCTGGACAGCGTTGTTCTTCGGGCGTTCAGGACTCGATCGTGATTTTTTGGTTGCTGCAGTTTCCAGAGACTTTAGGACGAATAGTGATAGTCCTAAAGTGATGAATTCGCGTCTCTCGATATTTACGAACCTTCAGACATGGTCCGCTCGGTATCGTGTTCTTTGTTTTTATTATTGTAGTTGAAATAAATGTGTAGAGTAATTTATTTTTTGCATTATAGGTCATCGTGTGGGATGACATTAGGTTTGGGGTTACCATGAAGGGGTAACCATTGCCTGTTGCTAGACCTAGGAATTATTTCTTAATTATTTGCCTTAAATTCTTTGTGAATTTGCTATCAATTTTTTCTACATTATTAGAATTGCATGTGGCCTTAGGAAAGTTTACTGGACTATTCTATGTGAATTATGTTCATACTTTACTTGTGGTCATTATTTGACATTGTTGGCAAATGTGGGTCTAAGGTAAATGTAAAAAAAAAAATAACATATATTTTAACTGTGGTGAAATTTGGACATAGTTGAAAGAGATTGTCCTAGAATGATAATAAAAGGAAAGATGAGGATAGAGACAAGGCGAATATGACTTTAGGGTCGAGTAGTGATCCTAGTGAGGTTTATTGAGAGAATAAATCTGGTTCTTGCATTGCATCTATGTGTAATCCTTTCTGCATGTATGTGGTCACTTAATTCTATTGTGATGTTGATTTTATACTTTAAATATGTTTGATGTGTGTAATTGCATGAATTAGAGTGACTTATCACTTTGTGTAATATGTTTACATGCATAGTGGGTTAAATTTTGTGGCGTACTCTATTTGCTCTATGAATGGTGTGAGAGTGTGGTAGTGAGAAGAAAGTTGGGTAGCCGTTTCTCTCCTTTATCTTTGTGAGCCTGTGTGGTTTGTGAGATTATGTGAGGCAGCCATGTTAAAGTTACTTTCTTTATCTTTGTGAGCCTCCTTTGTGAGTGTTGTGAAGTAACCGACTCTTTCTTCGATTTCTCTTTGTGAGTGCTACCTTCACCATTTTCTTTGTAGATTTTTTGGAGTTTTGGTGATTGGAGTAACCTTTGTGGTCACCGAAAGATGTTAATTTGCCATAGTGAGTTTCAGATGCATTAACAGTGTGTTGTGTGTCTTTTGGTAAGGTGGAGTATAGATGCCTAGGGGTACATGGTGGTTTGTACTGGGGATGTGGAGTGTGACATTTGGATCACCAGTGGAGATGTGATCAAATGTCTAGGATCCTTTATCTGGAAAGAGGCCCTGATCAGGTGGAGTGTGAGAGAGACACTTCTATCACTTCTGTTAGGTGGAGACCCATTATCCATGTAGGTTGGGAGAAGTGATGTGGAGATAGAGGATTATCCCGTGGACTTAGAATCTATTGTAACTTACCAGTTAGATATGAGTTGAGTGATCTGTCTAGTGAGCTTGGTGGGCGATGAAAGGAGATATGTGTTCTCGATGTGTGAGCAACAGGGAATGGGATAGGATAAGTGTGGTGAGATCTTTTCTTAGGGTCATTTATGCATGTGTTGTATATGTGGTTGACCCTGGTTTGATTGACTTGGTGTTAATCTATGGTTCTATGTGAACGTGTTTTTGAAAAGATTTGTGTGTGTTATCCTATAGTATATCGTTATCACATGTGTATTTGCTCTTGATTATTTACTGTTAAATATTTGTTTCTACTTGAGTGTTTTTGGACCTTAGCCCCAGTGAGTACATGGAGCAGGTATGGTATGTGTTTCAAGTTGGAAACACGAGGTAAGGTCTGTGATCCAATTTTATTGGCTACCTTGATTATGCAAGTGTTAATGGTGTGTTTTGATTGCTTGCAGATTTATTGGACATCAAGGTGGAGATTTGTTGGGTTTTTGATACCCAATAAATCCCGGGCTATGATGTTAACGTGGGTTAATATTATTTCATAGGCATAGGCCGATGAATGAAATAAGTCCAACAACCAAGTCTATGAGCTACACCCGACCCAATTGTATTCCTTATGGATGGCTTGAATTTTGGCCCGTTTACCCCTTTAATGGCCCAACTTAAAGCCTAACCCTAGAATATATATTTGGTTATAACCCTAGCCACTTTGATATGATGATTGTGTGATTTTGAGAGAAGAAAATAGTGAATCCCGGCTGCCCCCCTTTTGTGTGAGAAAAAGGTGTCCAGAAGTGTCCAGAATGCTTGTATAACGTGTGCAATTGGTGGTTCTTTCATAGTATACCTTTGTGGTGTCTTCTCCTAGCTTTTGTGGCCATAAATCATCATCCCTTCTTATCCTACGTGGATAAGATTGTATAGCAACCTAGGTGAATCAATTGGTAGTGGTTTGGAGCCGATTGGACTAGTTGTTGGTTGAGAAATGTACGTTGGACTGAGCCTGGAAAACCACCGTTTAAAGATCCTTTTGAGAGAGCTTCCGCAACAGTGTACATTGTGGTTGTGCGGATTGCGCAAGTGGAGATTGATTAGTTCTCTGGTAACGTCGCACTGCAAGTAAAATGGTGCAAAAGAGGTTTAAGATTATCTCTATTTAGGGAGGAGGCTTGCTTCTGATCTTTAGAGTTGATAAAACTTCTAATTTCTACCTGACCTCGATGTATAATCAACTTGAACAATTATTGCTTTATTGTAACAAGATGACTTCTGCAATGATGTTAATGGAAACATTTTTGTTGGTATGTTTAAGGGCCTATTTGATAGAATTTATTTAGGAATAATGAGTTATTGATTAGTAATTTTTGAAAAATGTGTAGTTAAAAAGGATATTTTATTAGTTTATATGTAAAATATTTTATTGTGTGAATGTATGGTGAAAAATGATCATGTAGCAAACAATTTAAATTCTTTAAGGATGACAAATAGGCGCTAAAGCTTAATTGGATATTAAACCGTGCTCTTTGACGAATCTTTTAATATAAGTTTTAGTAGACTTTAACAAAAGTTAATGTAACATATAGTCAAAAAATTAATAAAAGTTGTGAATCTACGAGAAAAATCATAATTTATTATCCGAGCTAGAAAATGATTGATCAATAATGCATAATTCAGTATAGATCAACATTCTTTGAAAACCATGTCACGTTGTTACACCATTTGAAAATCTTTGTTGTCTTGTCTGTTGGGATTAAAATCAGTTTTTTAGTAGATTTTGATATAAAATCATGAAATATGTGCTAAGTTGCGGGTCATAATTATTGTCTATCATATTTATTTTCACATCGTGGAACCCCTGGACCAAAATTTAATCTAAGGACGGTTTAAAATTTTGTAATTCTTATAGAATTCCATTAAGGAATTGGAGTTTTTGTATAATTTGATTTTTTCCTAATTTATCCTATACTATTATCATCAAATGAAGAAAGAAAAAGAGATTAGAGAAGATATGTGTGCTATTTTCTCTTGTAAACATTTAGTTTATCATAGTGAATTAGTGCGTCAACGAGAGATGATGTAGTCTTACGTTGAGATTGACCTTTATAATCTCGAATGTTCTTAATTGTTTATTTTTCTTTCTTGCGAATTGATTGTTGTCGATGGAAAAGAATTAGGTTTATAATTCTCAACAATATATAATTGAAAAGTTGTAGGTCCTATAATATTTGATAAAAATTTATTGTCGACTTTAACTTCGATTAAAACCTAGATTTTTTTTGAAAAAATTTCCACGACAATACATGTGATTCCACTTATTCCTCTTTGCAATCGAAGATATCACGAGCAGTGTCGACTATGAGAATCCCTTAAACAGCCTAAGCTTCTAGATTTGTTTTTATTTTGACCTTTTTTTCCTCCATTCCTTCATTACCAAATTCTCTCTCAATTCCACATAACATTTTCAGGCCACTCCATGCACTAAACCAACGCCTTAAATCGTGCAATGACAACTTCTTACTCAAATTCTAGAAATAATCAACGTAAAATCCTTAAATAACGTACCGTGAACCATCAGAATTCATCGTGTGTATCAACAATGGCAACAGCTTTAGCTGGTGATGATCTTGCACGATCAGTCAGCAGCGGGAGGAGATTGGCTGCGTCCGCCTCCGGCAGGAGCCGCAGCTTCCGGGAGGCGTGGCAGGATCAGCCTGATGCGTTCAGCCGCAACGGACGGCAGGATGATGACGAGGAGGAGCTCTTGTGGACCGCCATTGAGCGGCTGCCCACGTATGATAGGCTCCGAAAAAGCGTTTTAACGCAAGTTTTGGAAAATGGGAAGGTTAAAGCAGATGAAATTGATGTGAAGAAGCTTGGTGTGGATGAGAAGAAGCAGTTGATGGATAGCATTCTTAAGGTGGTTGAGGAAGACAATGAAAGGTTTCTTAAAAGACTCAGGCAACGAACTGACAAGTACGTAATTAAAACTTTCGCACTACTGAAAAAAGCTTCATCAACGGTTTTTTCGATCGGAAATGACCAATTCCGATGGAGAAAAGCGGTCAGAAGTAAAGATTATACTAACAAAATTAATCAAACACTTCCATTTATCCATAAATCATATTTAAGCCCTTGTTTGATTTTCATTACATTACATTACATTCTATTTTTCTCTCTTCTATTTTCAACCACACAATCTTCCATAAAATAATATTACACGTAAATCGAAAAATTTTCTTTCTTTTTCAACCACTCATTTTTCAAAAAACACTATTCTATACATTAAATTTTCCCCGTAATGGGGGCCAAACAAGGGCTTAGGTTTTTGATGGACGGAAGTAACCTAAGAAATTTCATTATTCTTCACCGGAAATTTCCGACGACCAATTCTCCGATGACAGCTAATTGGCCGTCGAAATTTCCTAAGTAAAATACAGGTCCATCGAATTTTAACCTTTACAATGGTTTTTTTCCTCAAAAATCCTTAAATACCAACGAATTTTAGTTAGTTGGAAAAATTCAATCGATATTACCTTGTTTTTTATTAGTGTTATTGAATCATTTCATCTAAAAGCTTGAAGTTATAAATAGAGGACACATTTATTTATTTAAAGTTTAATTTAATTCTAATGCGTCATGACATGCAAATCAGATTCATTTAATTGTTTGAAATGGATAGAACTCACATCCTTTAGTTACACGCAACATAAAGTGAAGTGAAGGCAGATCTCACATTCTAATTAGTATTATGATGATTAGTTACACTAGCGGATCCAAGATGAATATTGAGCACCGGCGGTGAGAGTGGCCATCTAGCAGCCACCCAATATAAGGAGGGAAAAGAAAATTCCGGGGGATCCAGCACGGGCGGTTGCCAGTGCTCGCTAGGTGCTGGATCCATCGGTGATCAGTTATATTGTGAGATTTTATCATGTTATCAGCGAATGAATGCTTCAAAACTTTTATCGGCTCTAATGACATGTTCAGAAAAAAAAATACTCAAGTGCATTTACTTATTTAAATTTAGTCATCAACATTGTACACTTCTGTAGTTTCATGGGCAAGGACGTGCCTCTTTTACCATTTATTAGTTGATTTGATTTTTGATGATGATGCAGGGTGGGGATTGAGACCCCAAAAATTGAAGTAAGGTACGAGCATTTTTCTGTGGAGGGAGATGTGTATTTTGGGAGTAGAGCACTGCCCACTTTATTGAATGCTACAGTGAACACAATTGAGGTAGTTTAATTATTTCAACTCTGTATGTGAGAATGTATGTATGATTAAATTTCTGATTATGGTTGTGCATTTTGGCCTGGAATGGATGATAGAGCATTCTGGGACTACTTTGGCTTACCCCTAATAGGAAGAGAAGAACTCAGATACTAAAAGATGTAAACGGAATCGTCAAACCAACCAGGTACATATTATGTATATAGAACTGGAAAATATAATAAACAAGATTCTTCTTCCTCGATGTTGTTTGTATCAAACATGTCGTTGGTGTTTCTTATTATGAATAAAGAAATTTGCTTCTCTTCTTACAAATTGTAGTTTAACTTGATGATTTTCAGGATGACACTACTTTTAGGTCCACCAGGAGCAGGAAAGACAACATTCCTGCTTGCACTTGCTGGAAAGCTTGACAATAATCTTCGAGTACGTTTCTTAAGCTTTATATTTGCTTACCTTCGTAAAAGACCTTCTTTTCCTGTTATTGATTAGGAACTCTGAATAGAAATCTGGGAAGATCACATACTGTGGGCATGAACTGCACGAATTTGTTCCTCAAAGAACATGTGCTTACATCAGTCAACACGATCTTCATCATGGGGAAATGACAGTGAGGGAGACCTTTGATTTCTCGGGTCGAAGTTTGGGGGTTGGAACAAGATATAACATTTTAGCAGAACTCTCAAGGCGAGAGAAAGAAGCAGGGATTAAACCTGATCCTGAAATTGATACATTCATGAAAGCCACATCAATGTCAGGGCAAAAGACCAGTTTGGTCACAGACTATGTTCTCAAGGTTTTTGCTGTTTCCTTTTTCCTTTCTGTATTAGGCTATTTTATCGAGTTCTGTACTCTTTGTGTGTGAAGTTTAAGAAAAGACTTGAAGTTTATTAACCTTATTAATATTACAGATACTTGGATTAGATATTTGTGCCGAAGTTATGGTTGGCGATGATATGAGAAGGGGTATTTCTGGAGGGCAAAAGAAGCGTGTGACTACTGGTACGTCTCGAATTATACGTCTCAAACGCAAATTATTCATGTCAGAATGAAGTGGTCTATTTCTATTTTCTCAATGAGTGCATGTAGTTAGCTATAGAACATCACAAATTGTGACATTGATTCAAAGAAGTTGTGTGATGACACTCTTATAATTTGTTGTGATTTTTCTTAATGAATAGTATCTGATGTACATACTCATTGTATAAATTTAGTTGCAGAAGAACTTCTCATAATCAATTCAAAAACTTTAATCTTTTTATTCCAGCCATGTGATAATAGTGAATGTGCTTCTTGAAATTTTAAGATTTTTTATTTTTCCAGAACTACTTCGTTGTTTTTGTGCTAATCTATGCTTACTCCACGAGCAGGAGAAATGTTGGTCGGGCCAGCTAAAGCTCTTTTTATGGACGAAATATCGACTGGGCTGGACAGTTCGACCACTTTTCAGATTGTCAAATACATGAAGCAAATGGTTCACATCATGGATGTAACCATGATCATATCTCTTTTGCAACCAGCCCCAGAGACCTATGATCTTTTCGATGACATTATCTTGCTGGCAGAAGGTCAAATTGCGTATCAAGGTCCAAGAGAGAATGTGCTCGAGTTCTTCGAATACATGGGATTCAAGTGCCCTGAACGGAAAGGAGTGGCTGACTTTCTTCAAGAAGTGACATCGAAGAAGGACCAAGAGCAATATTGGTCCAAAAAAGACAAACCATATAAATATATCTCAGTTTCAGAATTTACAGAAACCTTCAACTCTTTCCACATTGGTCAAAAGCTTGCTGGAGAACTTAAAGTTCCTTATGATAAATCCAAAGCCCATCCAGCTGCTTTGGTGAAAGCGAAGTATGGAATCTCAAATTGGGAACTATTTCGGGCATGCTTTTCGAGGGAATGGCTGTTGATGACGCGTAGTTCTTTCCTATACATATTCAAGACTACCCAAATAACAGTTATGGCAATTATAGCCTTCACAGTTTTCTTCAGAACAAAGATGCCTCATGGACAATTAACCGATGGAGGGAAATTCTTTGGAGCCCTTTTCTTCAGTCTTATTAATGTGATGTTCAATGGGATGGCTGAACTTTCGATGACAGTCTTTAGGCTTCCTGTCTTCTATAAACAAAGAGATTTTTTGTTCTACCCAGCATGGGCTTTTGGATTGCCAATTTGGATCCTGAGGATCCCCCTATCGTTCGTGGAATCTGCACTTTGGATCATTATTACGTATTACACTATTGGATTTGCACCAGCTGCTGGGAGGTAAAAATGGTCATGCGGTTCTGTTTTCTACCGGAATGTCACGTATTTGCTTATCATTTCTTTAATAAGAATTCATTCACTGACAATTCTTGTCCACGTGCTCTAGGTTCTTTCGGCAATTCTTGACATTCTTCAGTATACATCAAATGGCCCTTGGTCTATTCCGATTCATTGCTGCAGTCGGAAGAACTCAGGTTGTTGCAGGCACGTTAGGGACCTTCACTTTGCTAGTAGTCTTCGTGCTTGGTGGTTTCATAGTAGCCAAAGGTAAGCTTCTGGATTTGTTTTTCAACCTTCAGAGCCTTTAAGCCTCTTGTCAGTTTTTCATCTCTTGAGACCTTTGTCAGTAGTCATAATAAACCAAGTTCATATTTTACCTTAATTACAATAATTACTCTTATTTATAAGCATGAAATGGACTCATTAGTCCTAGATCATCAAGTCATTCATTTTCTTTGTTGACGACAGATGACCTCAAGCCATGGCTGAAATGGGCTTATTATGCTTCTCCTATGAGTTATGGCCAGAATGCAATAGCCATGAATGAATTTCTTGACGAAAGATGGAGTACAGTAAGTTTAATCATCCGTTTTTGAAACCTCTATATTTTACTCTCATCATGAGCAATTCTTTCTACTGTTGTTTGCTCTCATCGAAATTTAAGCTTATTTCTTTCTTCTTTATTTTTTGTTTTTGTATGCAGCCTAATGTGGACCCCCGATTCAGTGCACCTACAGTCGGAAAAGTCCTCCTCCAGTCGAGGAGCTTCTACACAGAAGATTATATGTTTTGGGTTTGCCTTGGAGCACTCTTCGGCTTTTCAATTCTCTTTAACATTCTATTTATTGCAGCACTGACATTCTTAAATCGTAAGTAACATCCTGCTGTCAGTTACAATTCTCATACTTCATAATGGATCTGAAGTTGAGAACTTCTGATATGAATTTTCAGCTTTAAGTGATTCAAACACTATTGTATTTGATGAAAATGAAAGCAAAACGAAGAAGAGGAAGAAGAAGAAGAATAATTCATCTGGAAAAAATGTGACAGGAGCATCTGACGGTAATGGTCCATTTAATCTTCAGCATGTCATTTATTTTTCTTAGATTTTCTATTTTTGTTCCTATTTATGAGCAATTGGTAATAAAGCTTTCATTTATTTGTCTTTCTTGCATATGGGATCCGGTTGTGAAAATAAAACCTTCTTAGCATTTTTCTTAGCTAAGATTGGATATCACTAGACAAGTACTAATAAGGGAAAGAAAGCTAAATTCTTGTTCATTATACTGTTGAATCTAGTCCAATACTGCATACCAAACATGCACTCGTCTGTTTTTATTCCTATAATATCATTGACAATTAAAAATCTCTACCGCATTATTTAAACTGAAAAATGAGCTAGGATTGATTATTCGTGTAAAGTTGTTTTCCTAATCACTTAACCACAGGTGTTGATATGGAAGTGAAACATGCTTCAACCAGTTCAAACTCGACTGCTGCCTCTGCGGATCATGCTTCTAAAAAAGGAATGATCTTGCCCTTCCAGCCTCTTTCACTTGCATTCGATCATATAAACTACTTTGTCGATATGCCTGGTGTAAGTAGCTTGTTTTATAACTTCACTCACCACTCTTTGTATCTCTTTCATTGATCATGCTTTGATGAAGACTTTTGAAGTGCTAGAAATAAAATGTTATTTTTACATTTTACTAAGAATTTTCAAAAAACTGTGAAGTTTTATCAAGTTGATATCTGCTCGGATTTACCAGGAAATGAGAGCTCGAGGGATTGAAGGGGATCGTCTCCACCTATTACGAGATGTCAGTGGAAGTTTCAGACCAGGGGTATTAACGGCACTCGTTGGTGTTAGTGGTGCTGGAAAGACAACATTAATGGATGTCTTAGCAGGACGAAAGACTGAAGGGTACATTGAAGGAACTATAAGCATTTCAGGTTACCCAAAGAACCAGGAAACATTTGCAAGGATTAGTGGATACTGCGAACAGAACGATATCCATTCACCTCATGTTACAGTTTATGAATCCGTGTTGTACTCTGCTTGGCTGCGTCTTCCTTCAGATGTGAAAATGAACACTCGAAAGGTATGTTATTTATTTACTGAGAAGTGTAAGATCTTCGTTAAATTCTCCTTGATTATAGTGAAAAATCTGGAGTGAGAAATGGATATAGTTCTCACATGGAGGGTGAACCATTTTAAATATGTGTATTGTTCTTCGTTTCTAATTCTTTTTAATTTATTATTCTGGCTGTAGATGTTTGTAGAAGAAGTAATGGAATTGGTTGAGCTAAACCCGATAAGAAATTCCTTAGTCGGCCTTCCTGGAGTTGATGGACTCTCGACTGAACAGAGGAAGAGGTTAACAATTGCAGTGGAGTTGGTTGCAAACCCGTCCATCATCTTCCTGGATGAACCAACATCTGGTCTTGATGCTAGAGCTGCTGCTATAGTTATGCGTGCCGTGAGAAATACAGTGGATACAGGCAGAACCATCGTCTGCACAATTCACCAACCAAGCATAGATATATTCGAAGCTTTTGATGAAGTAATGTTCCAAGTCCTTATATGCGCTTGATACTAATGTTTTATTAATATTGCCAGTCTTTAGTACTATCAGAATCTTAAATTCATTTAGTCAAATCCAACAGTAAAAAACATTCATATAACTAATTCTAAGTTTGTTTTGTTGAATCTTTCATTTCTGATCCTGATCTATGGCCTATTATTGAGCTTCCTACAGTTACTTTTGATGAAGAGAGGAGGGCGAGTGATTTATGCTGGACCACTTGGTCGGCAGTCTCACAAGCTCGTAGAATATTTTGAAGTGAGTAGCTACATAAGAAGCAAATAGATCGATTTTACTCGTTAAATATTTGAGTTTCTTAAGTTCTTATATGTTTTAATGACTTGCAAGCATATATAATTACTGTTATCACGTTGAAGGCTATTCCCGGGGTTCCTAAGATTAAAGAAGGATACAATCCAGCTACCTGGATGCTGGAAATCAGCGCACCAGCAGTTGAGGGTCAGCTTGGAGTCGATTTTGCAGATATTTATGTCAATTCATCACTTTATAAGTGAGTAAAACATGAAACTGGAATTTCTATTTTGTCAGTAACTTTTCGCATTTTTAAATAATCGGAATCATTAAAACATTTTTCAGGAGTAACCAAGAACTTGTGAAAGAACTGAGTTCCCCACCACCAGGTTCCAAGGACCTCCGTTTCCCAACAAAGTACTCTCAGCCATTTCTTACTCAGTGCAAAGCTTGTTTCTGGAAGCAGTATTGGGGCTACTGGAGGAATCCACAGTATAACGCCATTCGCATTTTCACTACAATTGTCATTGGAATTATATTTGGTGTCATATTTTGGAACAAAGGAAAGAAGATGTAAGTCCACAATTTCCTTATCATAGTATGGTTTTCCTTTTAAGGTTAATACTTGAGTATAATTTGTAAGACATAACCTTCTTGACTTTTAAATTGAATTTCTTTTAATGTACAGCCAAAAGCAACAAGATCTTCAGAACCTTTTGGGAGCGATATACTCTGCCGTTCTCTTCTTAGGAGTCACGAATGGTACTTCTGTTCAAAGTGTCGTTTCTATAGAGAGAACGGTGTTCTATCGCGAAAGAGCAGCAGGAATGTATTCACCATTGCCTTATGCATTTGCTCAGGTATCACGACAAATCACACCATGAAATCCTTCGTTCACACGATTCACATTCAAGCCTAACACCAGATGATTATTTATAAACCCAATTTCATCTGCAGGTGGCAGTCGAGATAATCTATGTAGTAGTGCAAACTTTTATGTATGCCGTTCTGCTCTTCACAATGATTGGATTCGAGATGAAAGCTGTGAAATTCCTCTGGTTCTACTATTTCATCTGCACAAGTTTCATCTACTTCACTCTGTACGGAATGATGTTCATCGCGCTTACCCCAGGTCTCCAAATTGGTGCCATTACAGCATCTTTCTTCATCAGCTTTTGGAACTTGTTCTCCGGTTTCCTCATTCCTAGGACAGTAAGTCAACTTGCACGATTTCAAATTAGAAACCATAAACTAAACATAATTGATACTCGAACATGTAACTAAGAATGCCGGACTAGATAATACTGAACGCTTAGTCCACACGGGACATGAACTAAACGAACTTGTATGACTTTTAAATTACAAAACCTGTTGATACGCATGTTTCCATTATTGCAGCAAATCCCAATATGGTGGAGGTGGTACTACTGGGGTTCGCCTGTGGCCTGGACAATTTACGGGCTTGTGACATCTCAAGTTGGTGATAAATCTACACCGCTCGATGTGCCTGGAGCTGGTACTACAACAGTAAAGACATATCTGAAAGCAACATTGGGCTATGAATATGATTTTCTACCAGTTGTTGCAGTAATGCACATAGTTTTTATGGTTCTATTTGTGTTTGTTTTTGCATTTGGCATTAAATACCTCAACTTTCAGAGGCGATGAAGAGTTTTAACCATTCTTTGCTATGATTGTAAGGTTCAGAAAGGCAGATTATAATTGAAAAATTATAGATTTATTACCCATACTAGTCATTCAATTCGTGGACAGGTCGTACCGAGCTAGACAAGCAACTTATGAGGACTCGTCCCATGAGCTTAATTTATCAAAAATAATTTGGCTCGCTTTAAAAAATATATTTAATTTAATTCAACAATTAATTCTAAATCATAATAAATTGTCAAGATATTTTATTTTTATTTTTATTTTTGAAGGACTATTGGTACTAATGACACCAATATTGACAATCTACATGTGGTATAGATCTAACCCAGTCTGGATGAAGGCGGGCGGTTTCGGACGCTACACTTATTTTAACACTTCTATGTTAACTTGATAACTTATTTGACATATTTCGTACATTGAATTAAATATTATCAATTATTATTAACTAAAGAAATAAAATATTTGGTTGTGCTACATATACATCACAATTTAAAGATTTATTTACTAACAGACGTTATGACGAGTTTTGATAAGTCAAAATCTCACAACCAAAATAAATAAATAAATAATAAAAATAAACTCTCAATTTCATTTTGTCTTTAACCCACATTACAAAAGCACAATTATTTAAGTGGTGAAGAGATTTTGATAATTTTAATTCAATTTATCGTCACCTCATCAATGTATAAAAGTCTAAAAGAATCTATAAATAATGATGTACAATGAGCAATTTCCTAAAATATATATGTATTGTCATATTCGGCCCCTATTTGATAATCATTATTTGAAAACTCTTTTTTCGATATACTCATTTTTCAATCACATATTCACTTAATAAATTATTTTACACGTAAATTCAATTTTTATTTTTATTTTTTAATCACACATATATTCTCCTAAAAATTTCTATTCAAAACATTGGCTTTTAAAAATAACGCCCGCCAAACATGGCTCAATTATATCCAATCTAATGCAGGCTCGTGTTATATTAACATTTCTACTAAAGTAGGTGACCCAAGTAATCAAAATTGTCGGATATTGTGACGCCAAATGCAGGCCACTGAATCTTAATATCAGATTTTTAACTTTAAATTGAAATTTATGGTCTCAGTCGTCTTGATACGTGTCCATATACATGCAAATAATCATGTCAAATGCATACACATCACTTCCACCATTTAAATTGATTATCTATAATTGATATTTTTTTTCTTAAGAATTAAAGAAACAAAATAAGTGACTTTAATTTACTTATAAGTAAAATATAATAACGTAAAACCTTAAGCGAAAGAAAAACCTACTTTTCAAGTCAAACATGCTGGCTTGACAGTTTATATTGCTGCTTATAATAACGTAAAAGCTTAAGCGAAAGAAAAACCTCCTTGTGCATATACTATTTATATTGCTGTTTTATTATATTTGTTATACCTCCTTGCGCAAGAAATAATCGAATTTAAATTTCTATGGAAATGTTTAGATTTCAAAACTCATAATAATATTAGAACAATGTATAGTTACCTAATTATCATTTTTAGGTTTATCTTTAGCCCGTAAACAAGTTTATTATTTTAATTTTTTGTTTTCTTTTAGTAAATGTGTTTTTGAATTGATAGACACGAAATAAATTTTGCTTATAGAGACGTTAATAAGTAGATTAAATTAGGCATTGACACTTGATTGTTGATAAAATAAAGCAGGAGCTGGCCCCATAAAACGACAAGCTTCATTTGATTGCCCATTTCAAAATATTTAACTTAAAGCATGACTTAATTATATCAACCTATGAAATATAAATGAAGAGATTAAAAAGAAAAAAATTGTTGGTAGGTTTTGTTGACCTAAAAAGTTTGGGTTCTTGTTATCAACAAATCTCACGTCACGTCTCTGCCTATATGTATAGTTTCATGCACACTTAGACAGTAACAATTATGCTTCAAGATCGTCTTTTCAAGAAAAAGGGTTGGTATGAAGAATTGAAGGTGGGAGAGACAAATATGTAGAGCTTTGGCTAGAGTTTACGCATCCATACATTTTCATTGCATATGCATACTTTGTTTATAGGGAAAGAGTTGTGAAATTAGGCTAGGATGTTGTACACCTAATTTCACTTTGCGTTTTGTCATTGAACCGTTGATCCTAGACGAGTTTGGTAAACTCTTCTTAATTGAACTGTTTCCTTGGCAAGATACTATTTATTTATAAAGAATATTTTATGCATTATAGAGATCATCTTTAAATTTTGAGAGTCAATTTTTATGCATTTCAACAATGCTTTCTATTTTGACTTTTCATTTTACTTTTCATAAGAAATAATTATTGATTTCACATCATATATTAGTTAGTATATTTTCATATATGTCAATGGACAATCAATATAAATGTGATTTAAATAGTTTAAAAAGCAGAGTGTTGAAATCTATGACCTATTAAATGTAATAATTGTAAATTAAGAATAGAGGGTACGTTTGCCTCTCTAAATTTGAAGAGTCAAAATCATTCTCTATTTTAATAAGTTAAATAGAGTCTCTTAGATCTTATTTTTGAGCATTAGAGCATCTTCATAAGAATCTTTAAATATGATATGCTCTTTATTTTAAAGAGTCAACTTTTAAAATCACGTTTCAAGCGACTCTTTAATCCCTTGTTTGAACTCCATTTTTTTCATATTATTATGAAAGGAATAGTAATTTTTTTTTTTAAGAATGAGTGGTTAAAATGAAAGATTTTTTTTTTTTTTTTAGGTTTACATGTAATATTATTTTATTGAAAAATGTGTGGTCGATAAGAAGAGATAGAAAAATAAATTTTAATTTAATTAGGGCCAAACATAGGCTAAATTAACATTTTAGTTTAGAAAGTAGGTTAGGCTCTCCAAATTTGGATGGTCAAACTCACCCTCTATAATTAAATGTATTTAAAGTGTTTCAAATTTCAATGTAGAAAAATAATAAAATAATCTAAAGAAAACTAGTTAAAATAAAAGATAAAGAAAAATAATAAATATTTTTTGGGTGTAGTAAAATTAAATGTTAAATATAAAGAGTTTGTTAGATTACTTCAAAATTTTAACTTTCTAAATTTACATATGATTTCCAAATGATAAAATATGCTTTTTAAAAATAGAAAATCATTTAGAAATACTCTTAACTCTTTAAAATAAAGAGTATTTTGTGTTTAGAGAATTTCTTGAAAATACTCTAAAATTGCATTTCCTTGAAATCATCTTCTCATTTTTAGAAATAGATAAAGGCCAATAATAGGACTGATGTGACAGTTTTCTTACAAAGGTTGTTCCCATATATTCATTTTCTCCAGATTTCGTAGAACCTTTACACTGTTAAGGGTTCGGACCTTCGTGCTAGATCGTTTGGCCCATTAGGGTGTTCCCCACCACCTTGGTCGGAAGGGTTCAATGCAGGACTTGACACCACCTGACCACCACCTATTACTGCAAAGACCGTAAACATAGTAATTCATAGAGTGAAGCTCGTGGTTTCCCAAGTAGACAAAGACCATAGGGGAGACGTGGCTGTTGACACTTGCTCACATGACGTTCATTTGCCAACATGGCTTCCAAGTGGATTTATGGTGTAACATGTTTGCAGCTTAAAAGGTTAACTTATTAGGAGTTGTCAAATTCTCTTAGAATTGAAGACCATTCTCATGTCTAGTTGACATTGGTCATTATTATCTAATTTTATTATTTTTTTAATATTTTCCTCCTCAAACGTAATACCACATCATTTCATCTCCATCAAGTGATAATCTATACGTTTATATTCTTTAAGCCATGAACGATCACAATCTCCATCAACGTTTACGCTTCCACTTCGTAAAATAAACCATCTTGTGATCACAATTTCCTTAGGACTTAGGAGCCAATAAAATATTTAGTGACCATTTTGACTAACTAATCTTTCACACACGTTGGAAGATTCAACTTACACATATTTAGGACTAATTTGAAAAATGGCACTAGTGTTAACTATTGAGAACTTTGGTTTCATCATAAAATGTCATAATTTATTAAGATGATCAATTACTTAATTCCTTCGTAAATTCAAGATCATTGTTATGTTTAGATGACATGAAAAATTTTGCTCATTGGTTAATTTCACCCATGACCATCAAACTTTAATTTGTTTCACCATAGCTACTGATTTTTTCACTCGATGTCACCCTGGCAATCGTACTTTAATTTGTTTATTGTAAAGTTCAAGTGAACCTTTGAACATTTGACAAGGGTCCTCGACCCTTTGATTTCTACCCTCAAAGTCCTAATGCATTAAAATGTCTGCGTTGGAGATACTTTTGTAATAAAGTGCCAATTTAACCATTAAAATGACAAATTTTGAGTAAAATGATCAGAGTATCCTTAGTTTGTTCAATGAAAAGGATAAAAATAACCTGTACTAAAACAAAGAAATAGAATAAATGAATAAAGAACAAAAAAATCAACAATAAAATAAAAATAAATACTTGGACCAATCTACACCCTCCACCCATTTCCCAAACCTAATTCACTCGCTCCACCCACCAAACATGCCCTCGCTACTTTCTGCCATCGCCACCGTCATCATCATTAATTTAAACACAATTTCACATTTAGAATGATAGAAACAGATAAAACTACAAAGTTCATTCATTAGAAAAATTTTATGTTTCATTAAAAACTATGTCATTTAATGTTTCTTTTCTTTTCTTTTGTTTATTCTTTGTTTTAAATCAAACCAAGAATATACTATCATTTTAATCAAAATTTGACTATCAACGGCCGAAATGACGTTTTCCATCATATAAGAATCTCGAGCATAGCAATTTGAAAAAGTGGGATACCAAGTGCTACAAGTCAAAGTTTTGGGACCCAATATCATCAAAATATTCAAAGTTAGGGACCTAGTGCTATTTATCTTATCAAGTTCGATGGTCATGATGATACTGAGTGGAGAGATCGGAGGCCATGGTAATATAAAATAAAGTTTCATGGACATGGTAACATTTAAGTAATATAAAATAAAATTTCATGGACATGGTGACACTGTGTGAAAAAT